AAAAATTTCTAAGAAAAATTCATCTGATTTTCGTTTCAAGAAAACCTACACCAAAAATTTATAAGAAATTATCGACCAATGTTTGCCCAAATCTTAAACATCCTGTCGATTTATGATATTCATCCATAGTCGCTGGTACAGAATCCATCAAACTTTCATCAACAATTAGCTTTAAGAGGCGATCCTTGATTTGGCCACCAACAACAGTAAAAACATGTTGTTCAACAAACACGTTAACGTTTATATTTGTCGATCGAGCAGCAGATTTATGTTAGCATATACTTCCTTATAAGCCGGCTTTGAACTTTTCATTAACTCTTTAAGAGAATATGAAATATTAAATTGTCAATATTCTTAATTATCATTCAATAATTCAATTGAAACTGGTTTCACTACCAAAAATCGCATATTTTCAAGGGATTATAGCGGGCCTTGATTTATGAGAAAGAAAAATTTTATTATGCAAAAAGTGTTTAAATACTTATGGTCACATAGGATTCAATTATAATTTGATAATATTTTCGCAAAACATCTTCGATTTCTTTAATTTAAAGACAAAAACAAAGTAAACTGCTCGGAAGAAAATGGTATTTGTCTTAATAAAATAAATAAATACAATAAAATTCACTTTTCAATAAAAAAATGTTCTTTTCACCTTTTTCTAATTTTCTTGCCGATGCGGTCTTCCTGCCTTTTCGTTTCTAATAAAATATATTTTTTGTTTGCTATTAGCACTATTGTTTTTATTCATAAAGCAGAAACTTGACATCAGAACTTAATTCATACTACTCTAAGAATTTTTTAACATTATTAAAATGTTAAACAAATCGTTTATTCCAAGTTGGAAAAGAAAATCCCTTTTGATTTATCATCGATTGCTCTAATTGAAACGAGATGACCAACTAACAAAATTTCACTTTTCATAACGATCGCACGCAACGTATTAAGCGGAATATCAATTGAAATGAGCGTAGCGGTGACCCGGCTTATAATGATATGTGAAACCTTTCTTTATTGTTGAGCAATGACTATAAGTATTATAGAATTTTTTTGGAAATGAAATTATTATATGTTTTCTTTCTAAAAAAAGTGTTGTAATCATCGATTTTGTTCTTTTCCATTATTGCACTTCTAAAGAAACTACAGCAAAATGCCTTCTGTCACCTTAACGTACAAATATTATTATTATTAATTTCGCCAGAGAAATAAATTCTAAGACTAAACTCTTAAAAGCACTAGCATCTAAGGCTATCGGCCTATATGTACACATGTTCTATAGTCAACGTCGTAGTGTCTGCACAAAAATGGAAATACTGACCACGCCTATCCAATGTGGTACATAAAAATTTAATTTTTTTTTCAATATCTTTATAACGCGCAGAATAACTTTTCAAAAGTCTTCAAAAAAAGTATATAAATTCTTGGACTTGGAATGCATCTAGGTGTGTCCGTCTGCCTAACCTTGCACTATCTGTGGTAAAATTTGCAAAGCAATTTGGAAGTAACCTAAACTTTTCATGACCGACAACGTTCACACGCCTGTATAACAAGAAACTTTATTTTGAAAATAGAAAAAAGCAGCTGTGTTTACTCCATATTTTAGAGCACGAAAGTTTAGCTCTTTTACATTTTTATCTTTTTTAGGGTGACGGCGATGGATATAAAATATTCGATAACGGGCAAATATAATATTCTTACTCGTTTGGAATATCTTCGTTCTTGCCAGCACAAAGGAAAATAAAACGACTCATTTATTATTTGCTCCTGATTTAATGGCAAGCAAAACACAATTGAATAATATCGTAAAAAATGGAAGAATTTTTGGAAACGGAAAAATTTTAAAATGTTTTCAACTTCAAACAGAAGTATCGTATTTAGCTTAACAGATGTCTAACGTCTCTTTGCATAAATAAAAATCGCAATTACTTGTTTAAACAGTGATATTAAAAAACACTGGTATGCTCTCGGTCTATCTTTTTTAGTAGTAGTCGGCAGTACCGCAACGAAAAATGAAACAACATTTCACATTTTCAGAAAACACAACTCATATGTTACGCGCTATTTAATTTGTATAATCAAAAATTTATTTATTTAATTTATATAACAAAAAAGTAAATAATGATAAAGCATTTAATTGTTATAAGTTTATTGCTGGGGCGAGCATTTTTATTAGATTGCGGTTGTGACAAAGCGAATCGAGAAGCAAATAAGGATTCCGCAAAAAACGTCATAAATAAAATCGAAGAAATATTGGAAAAAGCCGACGATGCTACAACAAAAGTATGCCAGCAACAACACACAAATAGAAAAAATAAACATTACCGAGATTATTATCCAGAACCCGTTTATGATGATATGTCACTTATACCAGGTGGTGAATACGTGGTCGGTACGAATGAACCGCATTTTCCCGAAGACAATGAGTCGCCAGAGCGAACTGTGATAACTAAAGATTTTTACATGGACAAGTATGAAGTATCGAATCAAAAATTTTGGGAATTTGTTAAAGCTAGTAATTATACTACAGAAGCAGAATTTTTCGAAGATAGTTTTCTCTTCAAGTCCCTTCTAACTGAAGAAGAGCAAGAAAAGCTGAAAGACTATAGAGTGGCAAATGCTTTATGGTGGTTTAAAGTGCGAGGGGTCAATTGGAAGCGTCCAATCGGTGTAAATAGTAATTTAGCTGGTCTAGAGCTACATCCTGTTGTCCATGTATCATGGAATGATGCAATGGCCTATTGTCAGTGGGCTGACAAACGTTTGCCTACCGAAGAGGAATGGGAAGTTGCTTGTAGGGGAGGTAAAAGTCGTAAACTCTTCCCTTGGGGCAATAAACTAATGCCTAAAGAGCAATACTGGTACGTTTATTTTTTAAACGATAAATATTCCATATTGATCGTAAATTTGATCTTAGGCTTAATATTTGGCAAGGTGAATTTCCAGATACTAACACCGAGGAAGATGGCTATGCCACCACGTGTCCTGTAAATAAGTTTCCACAAAATATTTATGAAATGCACAATATAGTGGGCAACGTTTGGGAATGGACACAGAATTTATGGAATGCAAAGGATGATAACAATGCCAATCCAAGTCGCGTCAAGAAAGGAGGATCATATTTATGTCATAAGACGTATTGCTATCGCTACAGGTAATATGGGTAATGTATATAATCTTTTGCTTTTATTAAACAATGTACACACCACGTTCACACACGTGTTGCTATGTTAAATGCTATAGGTGCGCAGCTCGTTCGCAAAATACCGCCGACAGTTCTGCAGGAAATTTAGGTTTCAGATGTGCTAAGGATTTGGAATAGTACAAATGTCCTTTTAAAAAAAAATAGACTTTTAAGTAATAAATTCTATGATTGTTATAATTAATTCATATTTTGTTTTGCTATTTCCGGATTAAATTGACTGTTGTACTTCTGTCTGATACGCGGCACAGTGGCAGGCTCAGCTGTGGATATATCTTTTGGTCCAAACAACGCTTCTTGGCGCTCTCGTTCTTTGGCCTCTCGCTGCAAGCGCTCTTTCCTTAATAGTTCAAGTTTCAAACGCTTTTCATTACGAATCTCATTTTCGTCATGTTTTACTTTTTCCTTCTTGTGTTTCGAATGTTTACTACGTTTTTTATGCTTCAACTTTTTTGCTTTTCGATGTGTTTTTTTATGTTTCTTATTGAGCTTTTCTTTCTTATCCTCATAAGACTTTTCTTGTTGGTCTGTCGAAATTACATTAGACTTACCGGAATTTGTGCTGGTAGTTGGTGCTAGAGTTTTTTTTTCAGAAGGCAATAATGCATTTATTAGCGTTAGAGGATCTTGTTTGTGTTTGTTTTTTATATCCTTTTCTGTTGCTTCACTTTCTCTGCCATATATATTTCGTTTAGGGACAACTTCATACCAACTTTTTAATTTTAAAGCCTCATTGGTATCTTGTCCTAAATAAGTTAGGTAACCAATTTGTTTTTCATACTTTTCTTGTTCCTCCTTCTTTTCCTTCTCAAAATCTTTGTTTGTCGTTCTTACGTGCGATTTATAGTCCGCGAATAGGTCAATATGTTGTCTTGTATCTTCGCTAGCGTTACTACAAGTCGGAATATCTAGCGTCTCCTTAGTTCTCTTTTCATAATCTGTACGTTTCTCGGACAAACCGGAACGTTTGCGTAGAAAATTCAAACGTGCTTCACTTTCCTTTAAATAAAATTTTTCATAAAAAAAATAAATAAACGAAAACTGGCAAATATTTTCTTATTTACCGCGAAATCAACTTGTTGTTGTCGCTTTAAGTCTTCTGCTTTTGCTGCTGCCTCATCTTTGCGAACGCGTGCAATATTATCTTTAGTACGCACATGCCATCTTTATTGAAGAACAAAAATTTTATAAATACTTTAAGGCTATCGTCCTAAACCAATCGTTACCTTTTCTTCGGCAAAATGTTCATTTTTCCTCTAAAATTCTAATTTCATTAATTGTGCCTAGCTTTGTGCTTTTTAGCAAAGGTTTACAACTAAAGCAAGAAAGATATTCTCAGCTGATATTTTAGCAGAGTTACCAAGTCAAGTAGTTGAATCAGTATACAAGTAATTTTAAAAAATTTTCCTGGCGCAAAAGGATTGATTATTCTATTTGGATTGATAATTTTAAAAATACACCCGTTACTTTTTTTTTATTTTTTTTTAATAAATAAAATTTTATGTGAAAAGCACAAAAGATATTGCCGAGCATAAATATCATTGCTTAGTAGTTGCAATCTAAAAAAGATACTGCAAACTGAATAAACTATATGCAAAGAAAATAAATAATCAAAGAATGAACAGCTGATTTCATGTGGTGGAAAAGAAAATATTAAGGTAACGGTGTGGAACGGTGTGTATCTTTTCTTTCTTCTTCTCTTTGGTTTGAAAGGCAGTTGATACGTTTGGTACAAACAAGTGAAAAAATTTTCCGTTGCATTTTAACTTTATTGCGTTTTTATCCCTTGTAGTGTCAAAAGTTTGGAGAATACTCCAAGGACGACCGAAACAGTTTTCGCTTAGCACAGAATTTTTCCTTGTTTCCTCAATTTATGTATCACTCACGTCGTTCACAATTCTTGCAAGTTTTCAATAACACACCTGACGAGACCACATTCTATAGAATGTGAAGAATCCGTCAGTGTCGGATGTTGAAATTGGCATGGATCGGACGGTTCAATGGAAGCTTTGCACATTCAATCCCAGTACAATTATATCCTTCCATTTTCAAATGGTTAACCAACATTCTGCTCCAACACCGCAAGGTGGGCGCGGCAGTATGTAATTCATAACCCAATATCAACACCAAAGGCGTCAAAGACGAATACGAGTAACGACTTTGGCAAGAAAGTGAGTAAAGATCGTATTCTACTTTAGCCAGAGATCACATTATTTATGTTCCTAGTTGGGCAGGTGAAACAACGAGTATTCATCATATTAGTGCAGGCTTTGGATCGGAAAGTAGCAGGAGTGTGGTAGTATATAGGGCTGAGATGGATGAAGGGCCCGACTTGTTAAAGGTTTGACGAGCTTAAACCCTGGGTTTGCATTTCATTAGAAAAATGTTTATGAGCCAATAACAGTTGTGGATAAATCTCAAATATCTACATAGGCATATACAGCTACCTTTTTTACCCTATACCCCTTGAGATACAAAGGAAGGATTTGAGATAGACTCACTCCATTCAATCGATTCAGCATCACTTTTTAAATCCACTTGAACTTGTCCATCCGCCTGTCCATTTTGCTTTCATGTGCGTACTCTAGAGGCCGTAATTTTCGAGATACTTTGATGAAATTTGCCCGATGACATACTTTGGTTCAAGGACGAACGCTATTGAAAATCCCACCCTTCGGATCATTTGTTGATTACTTACCATGTAATACTCTACTTCGAAAGGTTTTTATTTGAATAAGTTTATTAAACGAAGTGGTATATTTAGTCGTCATCCCCATCTCACAGTAGTGTTTTCATTTGTTCTTAGACTTCTAAGACTAGATACTACTTAGTACTGAACGCGATTTTAGTCTATGTCTAAAGTAAATTTTAAATATGATTGTGAAATCGCCTATGCTTACTAACCGAAAGCAACAAACCCTCGCCCTATTCCTTTCTTAACACTTAACAATCTATCTCCAACTAACTTACGTGAATAATTAATTTAGAGATATAATGAAGAAACACAAAATGTGATTGATCAAACCGCCTTAAAGAAAATAAATATAAACTAAATGGAAGGATTTAGAGAATAGACCGAAGCTGTATGGGCGTTGAATACCTATAGGGTAACGTAAAGTATACAATGGTGTAGGCCATGGCCCACTATAGTGTTTTTATTTGTTTTGCATTGAAAATTTCAAAGTTTAATATTTGCCTGATACCTCAGTGTGAATTTTAGGAAAACAGGACGCAATCTATACACATATTAATATTAAAAATAAAAAAAAAAGTTTTCAAACAACATTAACCCCTCCTACGTCCTGTAATACTATTCAAATTTGTAAGTGTATGAAATAGTTCATCCAATTTATGAACGTATACGATCGATATAAGTCTATATTGTCTACAATAAAAATGACGTCGATATAATCCATTGAGAAATATGAAGCTATAAGGACATTAAACAGATCAAAGGCGATGGGCGTTAACGTACATTAATGCAAGCGGAAAGTTTGCATAAAAGTAATGGAAAACTGTTGTGGCCAGATACCGGTGGTCAAATCAGAACAATAGCCGGAAACATGAAAAAACCGCGGTTAATAGCTTCCATTCAATAATTAGTTAGTTCAAAGGCAAAATAACTGCCACTGTTGTCTGCAAAAAAAATGTATTTCATTTTCATTCTTTACTCCGCCAAATAACCCTTTTTTTTTCTTTGTTATATAACATACTTTTTGTATCATCGAAATGTTGCCAACGTTCAGAAAGAAGCTTCCGAGACCTCATACAGTACATATACTTTTGGTCAGCATCAAATTTTGTATAAATTAAAGCATGTCCGTCCTTATGTCTGTCTGTCTAATGCCTGTAGCAAAAGTATCTTGCATCCTTTAACATGGAAAAATTTATTAAAATTTTGGGTACGTCTTAATATACTTTTTCAATAAATCGTCTCTAAATTTGAGGTACGACAGCAATTGTTCAGATGAAAGTAATATGAACGGTGACATTAACGAGACGAGTAACAGCAGAGAGAGTGAAGATGAAATGAATATTGCTAGTGCGAGTTATGTTAACTATAAATAAAAATTTTGATCGGAGAGTAACATTAAAATGTATTTTTGCAAAAATTACCTTATAAATGTGAAGTACGTCTTATAGTCCGAAAAATACGGTAATACTAAAGCTGTCGGCTGCGAATATGGCACAAACATTGAAATTTCATATATGCAGGTTCATATTGAAAATGTGTCGAATCGGTCAAAGTAGGTGTCCATAGCACCATGTAAACTGCTGTCTGTTTGCTCATTACTAATGACACAAGTGACAAAGATTTCGCAAACGGAAAACGTTAGCCATGCCCAATTTGAGATCGTATGTGTTACTAGAGACATAAATGTGGACCAACAGGCGATCATGTGAGTGTCACACAAACAATTGAGATTTTTTACTTACCTTAGATTATAAACACCTATGAGTTATGGGGTGTTTGGTGCTTCATTTCTCTGGTAATAATAAAATTAAACCTTATATTTTTCTGCTTTAATTTTGTGATTATGAAGTTTTTTTGTTGTTGTTTTCCTTTTTCTTTTATACTTGGTGTATTAAACTTAACATTTCTTTATTATTTTTATATACTATTTTGGAAAGTGAAATTAAAAGTACTTAACAATGTGTTTTTGCTTTTAAATTAATTTCATATAATTATTTGTTTGTAGTTTTATTTTTTTTTTTTCACTTTTATGCTTAACCTTGTGTTTCGTTTTTTTTTTTCTTTTTTTTTTGTCTATTTTATAAAATAATATTTGTGTATATATAAGTAGAGCTAAAAAAAAAAAAAAAAAAAAAAATTATAATAATTATGTTTTATAATAGAAATTTTATTTATTATTATTGTGATTGTTTATTTAGAAAATAAAAATAGGTTTTGTTATTTTGTTTATTATTACTATTATTTTCTTTTTGTTTTTCATTAACTAAATAAATGTTTCTATATGTATATATGTGTGTGTCTGTGTTTGCTTGTCTAATAAATTTTAATAGTTTTTAGTTTGCGTTTAAATATTTTTAGTTTATGCTGATATTTATTTTCCATTTAAAAAATTTTTTAAATTTTAAATGTGAATTTTTTTATTATTTTATTATTGATTTTCACTGTTATGAAAGAAAACTGAAATAAAAAAAAAAAGAAAAAAAAAAGAAAACTTTTAGACTTAAAGTTAAAATTTTTAAATAGTTTTAAGAACAGAGCCAAAGGTTTTTTTTGCGGTTATGTCTTTAAAAAGGGCTTTTGTTATTCAAAACTTTTCAAATGAATTGTAAAACAAATTTGTGTTATAACAGCTATAACAATATAGAATAATATATAATTTATTTATACCTATTTAGGCATAAACATGTGTGTATTTATTTATTTATTCTTTCTTTATTTTTATGTATAAAAATATAAGCGTTTAGCATTAAAAAATAAATTTTCCGTTTTTCTTTCTATTTTGTATAATATTTCATACTCTGCTACTTCGGCTAGGCTTAGGTTTAGGTTAGATGTTCTATATATTATTGCTACCCAACAATAATTTAAGGAAAACAGAGATAGAGATAGAGAGAAAGAGGGAGGAGAGTTTATGTTATCGTTACCTAAAAGCAGAAAAAAAAAGCATAACAAATATTTTAGAAAAAAAAACTTGTTTTCTAAAAATCCTATTGCGGCTCTTGTTTTTTTTTCTCTTAATTATAAAAATGAAAATCTCTCTGATTTCAAAGCGGTAAAAAATGCACTATAAAATTTGAATAAAGTGGTAGGTGTAAAATAAATATTTGTAGAACCAAAACGAGACGGATGACATCAGCATTAAGAGCATTAAAAAAATCCGAGAATATCTTATAAAAAAGATATTCTAGTAAATAATTCTTTAGAATAACAAAAAAATTTGTTTGACACTCAAATACGGATCTTACGTATTCCTATTGGAGATGAATTTCAAGGAAATATATTTTAGCGAAGTGCCGAAGTTATATCTGCTAAATATGTTATACTATTAGGTAACGATGCGCAGAATCTTTTAAGCCGTTCGAATAGATCTCGGTCGTTATATTTCTAATAAGTTTCTGTGGGAAGCCATTTACCGTAAACACGTAATAAGAAATTTTCGGTGCTTGGTTCTTTGCAGTATACGGGATTTAATCAAAAAGTAAAGAGAATTCGGAATTGAACGTGTAGTCGGATATCTATTTTCGAGGATCTCATTTAGTTGGCACGTTTTGCAAGTCAATAAGATAGATTTACTTTAAACTACTCCATTAATGTCAAGTTTTGCTTGAAATTTCATTAAAAAAAAAAAAAAATTGAGAATTTTCTTTATACAAAAAAGAAGTTTTGAACTTAATTTTGCAGTCAGAATGAATGCTTTTTGGCAAAGGGCTTGCTTTGAAGAGAACGGAAGAAATAATATTTAAAAAATCGAAAAATTAATTTTTAAGCGAATTAAAAATTTTCCTTGTTTTTTTTTTTTTTTTTGATTAAACCACGTAATTTTTTTTTTTAAGCCGTATCTAGCTCAGAGCATTTCTTAAAAAATGTTTCTATCTTCTTTTCGTTCTTTTAAAAATATATATGTATATATATATATGTATATGATAATAATAATAACCTTAAAACTTGTTGCTTTAAACACAACTTTAAAAGCAATTATTAAAAAAAAAAACTAACAAAAAATTGCGTAATAACTTTACAAATATATATCAAAAATAAAAATCTATTGCTTTCTGTGTAAAAAAAAAAAAAAAAATAAACAAGATTTTACAAAAAATATATAAATTTACAACCGAAATTCGAATTTAACTAAATTGAAGCCAAAAAATTTACAAGGATTTGTTTTTTTTTTTTTTTATAAATTTAATTTACAAAATGTTGTTTTAGTTTTGCTTTTGTTTTTTTTTTAGATTGGATTATTCGTTTTTTATTCTTTTTCATGCAAACATTTAGAGAGGAAAAAATTTGTATTTTATTTTACATATACTTAAGGGATTTTTTTTGTTTTTTTTCTTTTTTAATCATTTTGTATAAATTCCTACAAAATTTTTTAATTTTTTTTTAATTATTTTTATTTCCTTGTAGGTGAGAAAACCTGACAATTTGACAGACTTACAATGAATGCAAGAGACCAAGTTCTTTTCATTTCATTTCATATATATTCAATAAATTTTCAGACTATTTTCTTCATTTTAGCTAAATTATGTCGGCGCATTACGTGCTTATGATAACGTTTTTTTTTTTTCAAAATATGTTTAAAAAATATATGTTTTCGAAAATTTAAAAAACAAAAAAAAATTTTTTTTCAAAAAAAAAAGAACGGACTGAAAAAAACTGCAATTCAAAAAAATATATATATGTATGTGGATATGTAGAAACAATTGTTTTATAAAAATCATATATACCATGACCAGGAAAAAAACATGCTTGTATTTATACATCTATATAAATATGTTTGCATTAAAGATAAAACTTAATGCAAAAAAAAAAAAAAATTTTTATTAATTAAAAAATTTTTTTTTTTTTTTTATTTTTTTTTTTTTTTTTTTTTAATTTATATATATATATATATATATATATATATATATATATATATTTTTTTTTTTTTTTTTGTTTAACTGTAGACCTTAAACCAAATCATTAAATAAGTCAATGAGGCCCTCAGATTGACCCAAGGAGAAATTATAATAACCATCCATTGGCGGTTCAATAGGTAACAGCGGAGGCAAGTCTTCGAAATCTGTAAATTATAAAATTTTTTTCAAAAAATTAAAAAAAAAAAGGAGCAAAAATTATGATGAAATTTTATTAAGATGAAGTTTCTTATGAATTTGTGGTGTGTATTGGTGAATGATATTATTAGTTGTGGTGGTGGTGTGCATTGAAATTCATGCCAGAGCTGAATCTCATGGTGCTACAAATTTTCAATTACTGTATACACGATATATGGTATGCTATGCAGACCCACGAGAATTCAGTTCTAAAATGAATTATTTTTAAGTTTTTCTTTTTTTTTCATGATTACATTTGAAAGCACTATTCACTTTTAAATTATTAAGAAGAGGACAAGAAAAGCATTGTTTTTGTTTTGAGCAGAATTTTTCAATATCAAACTTTAGCTTGCATATAGTTTGTTGTTTTTAAAAGTGTTCGTCGTTGGGCCAAAACACGTCGGGGTAGCGAATTTCATTGAAGTACCTCATAGACTGCATTTTGGAAGTTGAAGACGGACAGACAGACATACAGATGTGTTTACATCGATTCAAAAAGCGTTTGTGAATCGACGGGTACAATAAAAAGTGAGTCTAGCTGAAATTTTTCTGGATGTTTTATACATTCGAAGCAAAAAATAGGTCAACCATGCTTTATGATATCGCTGTGGAAATAAACCAAAAACCAAAATTTCGTTTTGAGACCATTTTCTTAAGACGAGGCACAAAAAGAAACTCGCTAGAGTGAACAACTTCATGGTTCATTTGTCAGTCAGTCCATCGCTTGGGAAACGAAGAAAGATAATACGCCACCTGAGATGCCTGGGAGTTGATAGAGTAGAAAGATAATCGTGCTCAATAAGGTACTTCCACCAGGAAGGGCGGATGGGTGATTGCATTTTACTTACACCGTCAACTAATACAATTAAAGCGAGCAAGCAATAAATGTAAAGCGTTCAAAATTGAACCGCACGACCCTCATCTCTTTCACATTCGGCAGAATTCTCTTAACGGTGTACAGCTAGGTTTCGAATTATTTCTGTGAAAATCGTTTAATGGCCAAAATACCCAAATACCAAAACAGAAAATGGAATACGATTTTCGGGCATTTGATTCAGCTTAAGCCCACTTAAAATATAAGAAAAATGTTTTGCATTTGCATGTTTTTGTATTTGTTCAAAATATTCCGTGAAATTTTCCCTAACCTAACAATATTAATAGCGACCAGTATATTAATTAAGGCGTTTATTACTCGATTATGGGATTTTTAGGTACTTGGACGCATGTTATTCAGAGGATAGCGCGTATTACTTATCCAATGCGTAGCGCTTATCCAATGCTTACAAATAATTATAATATGAAGATAAAAGTTATAAAGAATATGTTATTAAGTTGTAACACTTGTAACATAAAATATCTGCTATCTGGTATTGTACATTTTATCAATTTTTATATAACAAGATTATGAACCCAAGTGGGCGTCACTTCTGTGTAAAATAAATGTCTGCGATATCTAACCCTTTTTGTCTAATAAGACATGATTATGAAGATCAAAAAGGTCAAAAGTTCGGAATGTGCAAACGGGTAGACGGATAGCATGTATCCCTGAAAAGCTAGCTAGTTCGATAATGAAGTGTTTCTGTCTTTATTTCACACGTGCTCCACAGATGGTTACACTAAATTGATACACGCCCTAACACCATTATGATGGCAGACGGATAGACGAAGCTTACTCAGCGGACAGGCTGATTTTATGCTCTATGCCGTTCTACTCCCAACCGATATACCTCTAGTCTCCTTCGGCCACTAATTATGAATGGGAGACCCCACTCTCTCGATATTTTACCTTCTCTCATATACTAACAGATCTTTTTAAGAAGTATTTATGTGCAGTTAAAAACTTTTCCTTAGGAGACAGTGTTTATGTCCTAAACATAATTTTTCATTCCAATCCACAGTATTTTTAATTCGTACGATTTTAATTTAAATTAAAATGTTTAATTTATAGATTTTTATACCCTGCACGCCGCTTGTGGCACAATGGAATATTAAGGATATGAGCAACAATCAAAAGAGCTGGAGATAGACCCACGTTCAGTTCGAATTAGAAAGTGATTCTGCTGAAGTTTGTCTGTCCGTCTGTTTACATGCTTGTAATGTTATGTTCAACCTATAGGTCGCTATTTTTGGGAAATTCTGATGAAATTTAGTACAGTAATTTAGTCCAATGACGAACGATATTAAAAATGGTTCGGATTAGACTAGTTTCTCGATTGCTCGAAGTTGATGTTGAACTAAAGCTGAGTAGCAATGTTTCTTAGGGCCACTTGCATGTTCATTATTCGTAATAAATATAAATATCTTTGTAATATTTGTGACTTGGAGAAAATAACTGTTTTTAGATCATTTCAAAATCGAATTATAAAACTCATCTATCTAAAATTATAAGTTTAGGGTGAAATTTTCGATCTTAAGTTTATGGGTCTTTGTGAATTTTAAAAATGATTAGAAGGGGATCTGGTTAAACTGAACGATCCACGGCGCTTATCGTAGAATCAAAAATTGAAAAGAGCGGCTTCTTCGTTTGTCTTTTTCTTTGCATGAAATTTCCATTATTCTTTAAACATTTTGATTACATATATATACGGTTGTAAATATTTTCAGTCATTTTGTAAATAAAATAATTATTCTTATATTTTGTTTAATTATATATTGTTAACTTAAAAAAATAAAATAAAAGAATAATTAAAAAAAAAAAATTAAAACAAAAAATTCAAATTTTGAACTGAATACTCGTTTTTTTTTTTTTTGGGCGGGATGAGGAGTTTTTAATTTTATAGTCAGCCAAAATTCATTCATTTAATTTTTTTTTTATCAATAAATCGATTAAAAAAAAAAAAACAATTATTTGATAGTTTCATAAAACACTTTATCAATAATATTATTAAAAAGACTTCCTTCCCATGGATGTGGAGATTTGTTTGTATGCTGCTGCAGAATGCACGCTCAGCAAGAACTCAGACTGTGATGCGAATATGTTATGGATGGCATTTGGCTGGGCATTCTTTCAAATAAAAGAACACAACAGTCGGTTACCATTGCGCGCTAAAGAACGCAAATCACAGACAGAGCTCTCGACAAGCGTGACTCGTTGACTTTGTAAAATGATATAAAGCGAAAAAAAAGAAGAAAAGATTATTATGAATGCTGCGCCATGATTATTATGAGAATGTTATGAGAAAGAGAAAAACGGAAAACACTTGAAATTTATTTATGGATTTGTTTTCCTGCGTGATATACTTACAGTTGTATGATGTGGGACTTAGATTTACTGTATCCGAAATAAGTGCATTCCGAATGCCCGAACCACAATTCGAATTAATTAATTGTGAGAGTTGGGAGGCTGTGCTGTCATTATCATTAGAATCGGTCTGGGCTGTTTGATGTTGTTGTTGCTCGACATTGCAATGACTTTGATGCGCTTGTTGTGACCGTTGTTGTTGCTGTTGTTGTTGCTGTTGTTGGTGGTGCTGTTGCTGCTGCTGCTGCTGTTGTTGTTGTTGACTTGAGTGTTGCAAAGAGCCGCCAGCGATCGTTGATTGAACATCAAAAGCAATGCTTTGTGGGGAATTCTGATTGGGTGATGACAGTGAAGAGGAGTTGGCAGATGACGATGAAGAGCTACCACCTGCCAATACACCGACATGCGATTGCGTTTGCTGTCGCTGCTCCATTGCACAGTTTACTAGGGGGACATCATTACGAAGACCCGACTTTTTGCTAAGACCTCTGCCACCAACACCGCCGTTACCCATATTATTACAACTAGTAAGCGTAAGAGTTTGATTTGAATCACTGCTATCTGTAGTACTTTCGCCCGTATGACGACGTTGGCCGGCTGAATTACCAACTAATAGATCCACATTTGAGATGAGAGTCTCTTCAACGTGTTCCAATTTCTGAGAGGTTTTCTGTTGTTCTTGCTCAGCCAACACGTGCGTTATCACGGGTCGTGTTATAGTTGGGAAAATTGTAGGAAAATCATCGTCACTTAAATGAGCAGATGTTGTCGTTTGTTGCTGAGCCTGAGTTATATAATTCACCACTTCTACTGAATTGCTGACGGTGATGTCTTCATGCTGCTGTTGAGCTGCTTCCTCAATAGATTTGCTGAGATTGCGTTGAGCTGAACGAACGCTAACTGAAGGATATGTGCTGGCGGAAGCGGCAGCGGCTGCAAGGGCGGGTAAACCTTATACAATGCACAAGAGAGAGAGAGAGAGAGAGAGAGAGAGAGAGAGAGAGAGAGA